CTCACCTGATCTAGATTTTTCGACATCAAGTCCCTTCGCGAACCATCAGACACAGCAGCTCGAAACAATACTTGCGATGTTCGGCATGCCTCATCGCGGGAGTTATCAATAAATAAACACAGAAGAATGGGTGAGCAGTTCTCAAAGGTTACATTCAATGTACGTGATCGACTTTTGTCCTAGAAAAGATTTCAGTGATGATCTATTTTTTTGTTCCCCGGCACTAGAGTACCTCTTCTCCACTTTCCCAAAATGTTTCTGGACTGCCATCGGTTAGGCAGACCACCATAGCCTGACGAGAGCTAGCCTCTATACGAATATGATTCGTTATATCTCGTGTTTCCTTAATTTTGAAACTATTAAAATAGATCGTATGAGTCACAAACTCTGGAAATCACTTGGAAGCAAAAAAGCATTCAAGTAGTTTAACAACCAAAACGGTGCTTAGATCAAATAGACATAGCAGAAGCTCAGAAAAGACACAAGACTTAACACCTACCTTCACATCCACTCTATCACCGGCCTTCTGCGCCATTGAACGGTCAGCCGAGTCAGTTATCCAATTCTCAGATACTGATGGTTCTGAGAGAACTCCTCCCACTGTCCCAAGAATATTACACGTTAGAATAAGAAGCTCCTTAATTAGGAAGAAGTTGTGAAAGATCATAACCGTAGCAAAAGAATAAAATGCAGAAATGAACTCGTTACTTTACCTGCTCGTGAGCAGTTAGCTGTATTGTCCATGCTTTAAAGCAGAGAGACCTCAATCGAGCATCCACCCCAGATGATTGCAAAATGACAGCAATAGTATATAAAAAGGCGTGAAGGTGTTGAACCATTTTTGCTTAAACATGTTGCTGAGAGGAATTAGAATATATAGATGCCATAGTAAAAGTCATACCCGCCAATGGTCCCGCTAGAAAGCACAGTCTCCATGGATGTGGCAAAACCCGTACTGGCTGGGATGGTATGAGATCGGAAAGTGAATTGTAAGAAGACAGTGCAGCCAAATACTGCAGAATGATGTCGGATACGCTGGAGAAAACATCTTATAAATTCAATGATAATATGGCTGAGAGAAAACAATTCAAAAGCACTATCGAAGATTTCGTAAGTATTCATTTTTTCTTCCTGCCAAAGCCAATCAAACTCTTATGTGTAAAGAACCACATTCAATGGAATTACAATGATCACTTACCTGGTTTCAGATGACACCAGTCTGAGCAACCAGTTCCATACCCGGAATGCATGTGAAAATCCAACCGCACGAATTATGGATTGCTCACATGCGGCGCGAAGCCTGAGATGAATAAAATATATGGTGAAGGAAGTAGGTATGAAGCGAACTAGACAAAAAACCCATAGATCTACTTTCGCTCAGTTAGCCAACATGAATAAACTCGGACTTCAATGTCACACAAATCAGAGGCTAATTTACCCTATACAAAGATCT